CCATCGATTCGGTGCCACATGGCAGCACCAGGAACATTCGAGACCCAAGGAGAATTCGGATCGGTGAAATTCGAGAGTCGAATTTCACCCCTTCGAAATGTTACGCGAATGTTCGCGATGCATCTCGTATGTTACATGCGCGACTCGATGTTTTGAGTAGCTATAAATTGTGATTGCTTTGTATGCATGATCATACTGAAATCAAGAATCACTTTTTATGTGATACATTCGACTACAAAATCCAGAGAGTTTCCTATCCTTCAACCTAGAGCATAGCCTTCACGTTGAAAGCCATATCTCGCTCGATTCTTAGGCGATCGAGGTGATCTACGGCTCGTTAGAAAGCTAAGACAGAGCTCTAGTGGTTTATACAACTCCAAGTTCCTGCAAAGTAGAGGAGACGCCTCTACATCAGTGGTATCAGAGGTGGTCGGAGGAGTCTACGCGCGCGACAAGGAGCAAGCATGATGACGTCAAGCGAGGCCTCCCGCACTTCCTTGGATGGTGTCGTTGTAAATTCCGGCGAACCCTGGGCAACCGCGACGATGTTCGACACGTCGGCGGTACCGATTTTCACGGGACAAAACTATTCCGCGTGGAAGTTTAAGTTCCATGTGCTCATGATGGAGCGGGGACTTTGGGGTTTCTTCGATGGAACGGAGAAGAAGCCGGACGACGAGAGCGGCATCGCGGCATGGAAGAAGAAGGACCAAAAGGCGTTCGCTACATTGATATCGCGCATCGGCATCAATCTCGTGAGCGCGGTGCGCATGTGTATCAAGCTCGAAGCGTCGGCGCATGAAGCGTGGAAGCGGCTCGAGACCATCCACGTGAACAAGACTCTCCACGGCAAGATCCTAGCCCGGAATGCGTTTTACACGGTGAAGATGCGCGCGGGCGAATCGATGCACGAGTATGCGACTCGTGTGGAGGAACTCGTGGAATCGTTCATGGACCTCGGTGGAACGGTCACGGAGGAGGATTGGATTTTGACATTGCTATGCGGCCTTCCGGAAGAGTGGTCGACGGTGATTACGACACTCGATAGCGTGCAAGACACTTGGACAAAGGAAATGGTGGTCGGTCGACTTCTCCATGAGGAATCACGTCGCCGACAATTCGCGAATGAGAGCGAGGGGACCGCCATGTACTCCGGAGGGAATTCCGGAAAGAAGTCCAAGTGGAGCAAGGGCGCAACGAAGGAATCGTCCGGTGGGAGCGAGCATCGCGGCAAGTGTCACTATTGCCGCAAACCGGGACACTTTTGGCGTGAGTGTCGGAAGCGCCCGAGCGATTGGACTCCATCGAAGGCGCGGGACGAAGAGGGCAACGCGCACACGGCATCCGGCGAGGCCGATGATTCAAAGGAGTCGCTCGTGTTAGTGGCCGACAACGGGAACAAAACTCCAAGCGACGCGTGGTTCCTCGATACCGGCGCAACGCAACACATGACGCACTCGGCGTCGCTCCTCAACAACATTGGCGCTCCGGGAGACGTCACGAGCATCGTGTTCGGAAACAACGAATCTCTACCGGTGGTTGGAGTTGGGAGTACGCGCCTCATCGTCGATAGCGGACCGGTGGACGTCACGAACGTGCTTCACGTCCCGGGGGTGAAGGTGAACCTTCTATCCGTCCCGCAACTTGCGAAGAAGGGCGTGATCGCCACCATCGACGGTGCGACAATGAACCTCTTTTGGAAGGGGGAGCAATTCGCACAAGGTGTTCTCAACGGAGATATCTACCAACTCAAGACGTACCCGAGAGCGGCTTCATCCAACGTGGCGCAAGGCTCCAAGGCAACTCTCAAGGCGTGGCATAATCGGCTTGCGCACGCCAACTACGAGTCGGTCAAGGAGTTGGCCAACAAGGGTCTAGCGAAGGGAGTCGACGTGATCGCCGGCGACGACGAGAAGGGCGTGTGCGCGGCGTGTGTCGAAGGAAAAATGGCTCGGAAGCCATTTGGTAGCCGTACCTCACCCCTCGCTAAGGACCCACTTGCGCTTGTTCACATGGACGTGTGTGGACCGATGCGGTGCGCATCAAAGGGAGGAGCGCGGTTCCTCTTGGTGATGCTCGACGACGCGACACGGATGTGTTGGACCCGACTCTTGAAGGCAAAGGGCGATGCGGCCAAGGCGATTCAAGAGTGGGCACTCGATGTTTGCGACGACGACAAGAAGCGGATCAAGTGTATTCGTACCGACGGAGGTGGCGAATTCGTGAACAACGAGCTTGAAAAGTGGATGAAGAGCAAGGGCATTAAGCATGACGTCATGACACCCTACACACCCCAACAAAATGGAGCAGCGGAGCGGCTTAATCGAACGTTGGTGGAGGCCGTTCGTTCACTTCTTCAACACTCCAAGCTTGGGAACGAGTGGTGGGGAGAGGCAAGTGCGCTAGCGGCATGGATTCATAATCGTGTGCCAATAAAGGTGCTACCGGGAACGACTCCGTTCGAAGCATGGAGCGGAACGAAGCCGAACATATCTCGCCTTCGTACCTTTGGGTGCCTTTGCTACTACCATGTACCGGATCCCCTTCGCCACAAGTTGCAATCGAAGGCTCGTGCGGCGATCTACTTGGGAATTGCGACGAACGAGCGTGCGTGGCGAGTGTGGGACTTGGGCGACAAGCGCGTCGTCACGTCTCGGGATGTGGTCTTCGACGAAGACAAGTTCCCGGCGAAGGAAAAACCAACTCAACAAGTCACCTTCATCCTTCCGGCACGAGAGGAGGTTGAAGAAAGTGAGGTTCTACCTCAAGTGGAGAAGGAAGCCGATGGAGGGGGAGAGAACAACGAGGAGAGCGTTGATGATGTCGTGGAGGCGTCACCAACCGAGGCGGCAACTACCTCCACACCTTCCTCCCTACCATTGGCCTTGACCCGCGAGCGTCGTGAGGTTCGTCCTCCCTCCAAGTACAACGACTACGCTACGGTAGCCGTTGGGGAGACGGATAAAGGGGGCGCGGCATTTTGCTTCGCGACTAAGGGTGATGATGAACACGCGGAATCTCTCATGGAACCACCCCCTAAAGATCCATCCCGTGCATGTTACAAGCATGATGGATTGCACACCTAGTGGGTTGGGTGCAAGGGGGAGTGTTGGAGGTGGCGTGTGTTTGAAGCAAGGTGGTGGTGGGGCGGTTGTATGCCCCCAACCCACCGAATGTGTGACTTGTGCTCACGTTCGTGTGAGTTGCAGGTTTGCGTGGGGTTGAAGCATTGACTTCGGAAGACCCATCGATTCGGTGCCACATGGCAGCACCAGGAACATTCGAGACCCAAGGAGAATTCGGATTGGTGAAATTCGAGAGTCGAATTTCACCCCTTCGAAATGTTACGCGAATGTTCGCGATGCATCTCGTATGTTACATGCGCGACTCGATGTTTTGAGTAGCTATAAATTGTGATTGCTTTGTATGCATGATCATACTGAAATCAAGAATCACTTTTTATGTGATACATTCGACTACAAAATCCAGAGAGTTTCCTATCCTTCAACCTAGAGCATAGCCTTCACGTTGAAAGCCATATCTCGCTCGATTCTTAGGCGATCGAGGTGATCTACGGCTCGTTAGAAAGCTAAGACAGAGCTCTAGTGGTTTATACAACTCTAAGTTCCTGCAAAGTAGAGGAGACGCCTCTACAACAAGTGGGCCAAAGGAATACTTCTGAGATACAAAACCTGAAGGCAGGCGCTTGGGAGAAAATGGAAATGGCAACAACTACGCCTATGACTACTAGTTCTACTGGCAACAAATCAAACGAGGCAATGAGTCTCTCTGAGCTTGCAGAAACTCGAGTTGCAGTTCCCAACACCACCAGTGCAACTGCCGCCACTGCAAGTGCAAGTACACATGACGTTTCCAAGCTGGGAGAGGATTTCCCGCCAGGATTTCGATTCCGGCCGACGGACGAGGAGCTGCTGTGTTACTACCTCAGGCGGCGCGTGGAGGGCATTCATATTGCATGGAACGTGATCGGGGACATGGATCTGTACAAGTTCGAGCCTTGGGAACTGCCAGGTACTGCCCTGCTGAATGTTCCATCCACACGCTTGACAACACACATGCTGCTCCCTTCTGAACAGCTCCTGTTTTATCACTGATTGGCTGAGAGCTGAAATTCACCTGCGAGTGGCTCAAAGCACGACTAGTAGCTCAAGAAAATTCAGGAAAGCCAGTTTGCCAACATTCAGAGCACCAGATGCCAAGAGATTTGGTTTGAGATACCTCAAACACCCTTATATCCATCATCTCTTCTGCCGACGCAATACAACCAGAGCACCAACCCCTGCACGATCGGCAGTTGTTTTCAGCTTCAATTGAACAAGACTTTCAAGAGCAAATCACCCTCTACATGCTTCTATAACATCATCTTAGTACCCCCTGAATTTATAACATGCCCAGAGCACCAACCCCAACGGCTTCAGTTGGCAAGTGAACTTTCCTGGATATGCGAGACCTCAGAATCCTTTTACCCATCCAATCTGCCCTCCACTATGCAATATTAACGGGATTAGCAAAACCCATAGCTGGTGAACTTCTCTCTTTGAGAAAACTGCCTTTTCCAGTGCTTCTCTCCAAGGCTACAAGCATCCCTCTTCCCCTCTCTTTTCGTACTCCTCTTCATTCCCAGCCAGATAGGAAATAAACTCAAGCACCCTGAACATCAGATAGAGAAAATAGGACAAGTAGTTGCCAACGTTATTTTTCTTCTTCTTCTTCTTTGCTTTAGAGACCTCACTTACCCTGCATCTCTCATCCTCCCTCTCCGCCACTCCCAGCCAGAGCAACATGTCCTATTGCTGGCGACGGAGAGTGGTTCTTCTTTGCAGGCCGCGACCTCAAGTACCCATCAGGGTCCCGTTCCAACCGAGCTACAACTGCTGGGTACTGGAAGGCCACTGGGAAGGACAGGCCAGTGCACGTGCGGCTTGCAGGCAACGAAGGCACAGGGGAGGAAACAGTCAGAGCAGGCTTCAAAAAGACTCATGTCTTCTATACGTGAGTTCCGTGCTGCAGTTGCTTCTCCCTCAAACACCTCGTTTGTCCCGGGTGTGTTTTAATGTCTAGATTATTCGAGTCTTGCCAATGCTGTTTCAGGACTTCTTATGGGTCTGCTTGGGTTTGTCTACTTGCTCGAGTTTTTAAAAGCTTGTTATTACATTGTTCAGTGAGAGTCTCAGCTTGTTTCCTCTAGATTCTGGTTTTGGTATCTTGGTTTTGTAGTTTGGGTTTTGGGTTTGAGGTTTAAGATTGTTTTCCAGCTCTTTGATTGATTGTTTTAAATATATGTACACGGCTTTCCATGTTCCTGGTTTGAGTTTCCAGGATGAGTGTTGTTGTTGTCATTGTTGTTGTTGTTGTTGTTGTTTTTTTTTTTTTTTTTTTACAATTGTTGTGTCCTCAGACTGCTTGTTCCGGCGGATGAGGTACAATATATTCATTGCCTTCTCTCTCTCTCTCTCTCTCTCTCTCTCTCTCTCTCTCTCTCTCTCTCTCTCTCTCTCTCTCTCTCTCTCTCTCTCGTGTTTCTGGTGGGAATAGGGGACGAGCGCCAGGAGGGGACAAGACTGACTGGGTGATGCACGAGTACCGGCTGGCAGAGGATTCTCCCGAAGCTGGACCGGCTGCTACAGACGTGGCGCGCGCTACAGCTGCACCGAGTGACCCAAACCCAGGATTAGCTGCACGTGGAGCTGCTACGGGTGTGGATGCAGCAGGTGGTGCTGTCACCGGCCGGAACAGCAGCAGAGAAGATGAAGGGACCAACCCAGACACCAAAGGTCCTGGTGATGAGGGTGCCGCAGCTGGCGCTGCTGATGGTGTTTTAGCCAGTATCAGCAGCGGCAACAGCAGCCCCAAAGCCAGCAGCCAGGAGCGTCGAACTGACAGTGCTCGAAAGATCGACGTGGCATCTTGGGTGGTTGTGTGCGTGCTCAAGCGAAGCTCGCTGACGGCTGAGGAGCAAGCGACACTGGCGCATCAGGGAGTGGCAGAACAGCAGAGGATGGCAGAACAGCAGCAAATCGGTGGGCCTCCTCTGCAACTTGGTGCGAATCTGTGGCTCTTGGCGCAGCAGCGAGGGAGCGGAGCAGAGCAGCAACCAGGTAACGCTAGTGGGGATAGAAACACAGGCTTGGCTGGTGCTGAATGTGGTGATGGCGGTTCAGGTGCTGCTGGTAATTCGGGAATGATGAATATTGAGCAGGGACATGAGAGGGGAGTAAGAGGAATGGCTGGGGAGGGGCGTTTGGCGGTCCCACAGGGAAGTCATGCAATTGCGACTGGTGGTATGGGAGGAAGCAACGTGGCAGTGGCAGGGGTTGATGGAAGTGCATGCAGGGAGGGAGATTTGGCACCAGCGGCAGGGAATCGTGAGGGTGTAACAGTGCGTGGCCTGACTTTCAGGAGTAATTCGCCCTCAACAGATTCACAGGGGAATACTTCCCCTACTACGCTCACAACCAGCCAGTCTCCCAACTCCTCCTGCGCAATGCCTGTCGGTGTGCAGAGCAGCGGTGCAGCAAGCCAAGCAGCAATTCTGGTTGCAGCGATGAATTTTGATTTGATTCAAAAGCCATCAGTGGATGGAACAGCCCCAAAAGTACCCGAGGCAGCAAGAACTGGAAGTGCGGTGGGAGAGGCAGTAGCAGAAATGGCATCTTTATCAATGAAGGTAGCAGAGGCAGGAGCAGAAGCGGGAGCTGGAAACCTCTTTGCACATCCAGGTCCCGCCTCCCCTTTCCTAAATCCGCCCAGCTTGCACTCTGGAATCTCCCCTGCCCACCCTCTCCTATCCAGTGCTGATAGCCAAGCAGCAGTGCAGCAAGGGATATTACACCAGCAGCAGCAAAGCAGCAGCCCTGCAGTGCAGCAAGGGTTATTGCCCCAACTGCAGCAACTCAGGACGCAAGCACTGCACCTAGAGTCACTTTTCCAGCAGCAACAAAGCAGCAAACCATCAGTGCAGCAGGGGATATTGCTCCAGCAGCAGCAAAGCAGCAGCGCGGCAGTGCAGCAAGGGTTACTGCTCCAACTGAAGCAACTCAGCATGCAAGCATCGCACCTAGAGTCACTGTTCCAGCAGCAGCAAAGCAGCAGACCATCAACGCAGCAAGGGTTATTGCTCCAGCAGCAGCAGCAGCAGCAGCAGCAGCACATCAGACCAGTGGTACAGCAACAGCTGTTGATCCAGCAGCAGCTAAGCAGCAGGCCAGCAGTGCAGCAAGAAGCATTGCTCCAGCAGCAGCAATGCTACATCTCGGCAGTGGAGCAAGGCCCAGCGCAAGCGCTCTATCTGGGGCCATCCTTCACGCAGCATCTGTTTGAAGAAAAGCCACCCAGAATCAGCTTCGGTGGTGGTGGTGCAGGAGAAAGGGGAGATAGAGAGCAGGTGGAGAGGGTGAATGACGTCTGGGAGGGCATGAGGAGCAATATGGAACGGCTAGTGGTGGGTACAAGAGACGCTCCAATCGAGCTTGAAACAAAGGCAGATCCTTCTGGGGCATGGCAGATTGTGCAGAGGGCGATGCGCATTGTGGAGGAGCACATGGCAGCACCAGAAAGAGTGACAGTACCACCACTAACAGCTGCTACTGCTCTGGCAGCAGCCAGTTCACTCCAACCCCTCCCCCTCCCCCTCACCCGCACCGGACCTCCCATCCAAAATCCCTTTCTGCCTCTCATGGGGGCACTGAATCAACGAGCTGGCTGCACGTCTCTCTCTCAGCAACAGCAGAACTACAGCGGACGCCAACAGGCCGGTTACCAGCAGGCGATTGCGGGCCCTGCCTCGTCTTGGTCTGCTCCTCTGCACCGACTCGACCCTTCTACTTCTTCTTCCATCGCTGCATCCTCCTCTGGTGCCCCTCAGCCTCTTCAATTTCAGACTCCAGCAATCCTTCCAACATTTGCTGCTGTTGCTACTCCTGTCTCTGCCACTGCTGCTGCTCCTTCAACTCCTGCCATTGCCGTTTCTGCTGCTGCTGGTACTAGTGTTACTCCAGGCGGTGCTGCTGGGTCTGCTGAGCTAGGTGACAGAGCAGCAGGTCACTGGATTCGGAATGAGGATATGCATAAACTGGCTGACCTTCTCAGGTCCCTCCTTGGTAATCAAGTCAACGCCACTGCAGGAGCAGCTGCTACTGGACCTTCTCCCAGTGATGCTCCTATTGCTGCTTCCGGTGGTTCTGCTATGGCTCCTGCTCCTTCTGCTACTTTTGCAGCTGTAATACCCTCATACTCTGCTGTAGCACCCTCGATGGCAGCGCAGCAGGGGAAAAGGCACAAAGGGCAGCACGCAGTGAACTTTGGGCAGGACCAGCAACGCCAGCAGCAGCAGCAGCAGCAGCAGCAGCAGCAGCAGCAGCAGCAGCAGCAGCAGCAGCAGCAACAACAACAACTGCTGCTGCAGCAGCATCAGAAGTACCAGCAGCAACTGCAGCAGCAGCATGGTCAATACCACCAGCATCAGATGCCTCAGCAGCACATGCCTCAGCAGCAAGGACTCAGTCCTGCCATTCCTCTACCGCCTCAGCAGCAGGAACTCAGTTCGGATCCTTCATGGCAGAGAAGTGTTTCCTGTCCGCCTGTCTCTTTACCGCTCCAGACTCCCATTCAAGGCGTCAACCAGTATGAAGCACCATTCCGTGCCTCACACAGCCTAGAGTATAGCCACCTGCAGTCATTGCAAGGTGTGTTGGGTGGGCAGGGAGGGCAAGGTAGATCGCACATGGGAAATCCTAGCGATTCTCTGCTGCATACCAGTGTGTGGGAGAGCAGTGGGACGGAGATGGCTGGAGGGGGAATGAAAAGAGAGGTGATGGGGGGAGGGGACATCGAGGATGGTGGCTTGGAGGCAACTGTTCTTCACGCCAGAATGCATGCAGGAGCACAGGGCTCTGGAATGGTGCATAGACAAACCAACCTGCCAGGAGGGGTGGGAGTGGGAGCTGCAAGGGTAGCAGCCACTGGTTCAGGTGTGGCAGCAACTGTAATGGGAGTTGCAGAAGCAGGTGCAGAACCCACCAGTGCAGGGGCGGCAGCAGCAGGGGAAGGATTTGCAGGGGTAGCTGCATCCTTACATGGGTTGGAGCTAGCAGATCTCGAGGCGCTTCTACTGAACGTGGAGGGCGAATTGGGCATGTTAAGCAGCATGGTCAGCGGGCTCAACCCTCATCCAAATAGCAGCATGGCTGCCAACCCTCAGCCCATTCCCAGTGGCATGCCCATCAGTCAACCACCAGTGCAACTGCAACCATCCGTGGAAATGCCAGCATCTGTGAAAATGGCACCATCAATGGCACGAGAGTCTTCGTTGGTCGCACCGATGCACAGTGGGCTTGGAGGCTCATTTGCATCAGAAGAAGAGGTTGCTGTGGTCATGGCCTCGTATCCCACTGCCAATATCATTGGCAGTGGTGACTTCATGTGGCCTAAGGGGGAAGGCGCTCCGTTACTTCCAAATTCATTCTTTCCGTCACCAGCAGTAGTGCCGACGTCGGATCAAACATGGGCAGATGGAGCATCAGAATCAGGAGAAGTATCAGCAGCAGCAGCATCGGCAGGTTCAACCGCAGCAGCAACAGCAGGAGAAGTAGGCGCATCTGGAGGTGCAGAAGCAGCCATTACAAGCACGATTGCCAATGTTTCAGGGGAGCCACAAAGTGGGAATGGTGCCAGTCAGGGCACTGGAAGGATGTTCTCTCCCAAAAGGAGTCGCGAAGAGGACTGCTGATTCGTTTCTTCTCCTTCCCCCCCCCCCCCCCCCCCCTTCCTTTTTTATTTTTTTCAGTGATTGTTTCACGGGTGGATATTTTTCCGGGGGAGCTGGCAGTGTGCATATGATGGTGACACCTGGCTCAGGATCAATGGATAGCGTCGACATATGATGTTAGGAGTAATGTTCTTCATATTTGCAAAAGCAGCTTCCCTTAGCCTAAGAAACCAAAAAGAAGCCATGAGAGTACATGAAAAGAAACAAACAAACAAACCTATGCTCATCACGACCCCATTCATTTCTAACAGTACAAACTACATTCAATCTGGTTAGTACTTTACTATGCTCATCACGACCCCATTCATTGCGTTCACTTGCACTTGTATGTGACACAAATATTCCAATTATGCACATGCCTTGTGATTTGCGCATTTGGCAGTAGGGGGGTTATTGCACCAATGACAAGATCTACAGTTTGGTGTATCAACAATATGCCATTACGTTTTGCCCATAATGTTGTTAGATTACAACCGCATGCAACGATTTTTCCATTCTTATTATAAGGGAACCTGGTTCCATATCTGGGGAATGGTAGAACACAAGTTTTACCACTTGAGGGAGATGGAAGAAAAACAACCCTACCTTCAGATGTCAACTCTAATCGTTTTTCCTCGGCTAGAGATGCCATCACCACTCTATGTACACAACAGTCCCCAGATAGACAAAGGCTCATGAAACACATGCTCTTAGCAAGACTCAGCAGTCCTCTTCACGACTCCTTTTGGGGGAAATCATCATCCTTTCACTGCCCTCGCCACTGCTCAATCCCAGATTTCCCCATTGTAATTCCCTCGACACATTGACAATCCTGCCTGCAGCGGCTGCCTCTGTATCCCCTGCTGCTACCGCTTTGACCGATTTGTCTCCTGCTTCTGCTGCTTTTTCTGCCCGTGTCCGAGCCACTGACACACTCCCCGGAGCTGGCAAAAATGATCCAGGCAGCAACTGATCACCCTGTCCCTTAGTCCACATCCCATCACTGCTACCAGTGGTGTTGGCTGTATGATAAGCAGTCATTGCCGCATCAAGCCCGTCCTCTGATGCAAATGAGCCTTCAGACCCACCATGCATTGTCGTAAACAGGGAAGGTCTGAGTGATATGGATGGCGTCAGTTCCTCAGGCGGTTGGCTGATGAGCATGCCACTGCTAATGGGCTGGACGGTGCGGACCATGTTGCTACCGGGAGGCTGGGTGATCCGCCTCACCATGCTGCTGCTGATCATGCTAAATTCTCCTTCCACATTCAGTAAAAGTGCCTCCACATCTGGTAGTTCCTCCAACCCATCTAGTGATGCCAGCAGGTCCGTTCCTCCTTCTCTCACTGCCTCAGCTACCCCTCCTGCTAAAACTCCCATGCCTGATGCCACCACCCTTGCACCAGTCGGTTCGACCCCTGCTGCTTGAACCCCCATAGCAACTGCTGCCATCTGTGAACATGCTGGTGCTACCCCAGCTGCTGCCACCCCTGCTGCGGCTACCCCTGCATGCAATTTTGCTTCTCTGTGCTGCATCCCTGAGTCCCGTGCTCCTCCATACCCCCTGGTGGGTCGGAGTATCACCTCCAAGCCACCGACCCCGCCATCCCCTCCTTCTTTCCTCTCTCCTTCCATCCACCCTTTAGCAACCTCTGGCCCACCTCTCCCCCACACGCTGTACTGCAGTGGAGGGTCACCTCGATTGCTAACGTATATCCTTCCCTCTCCAGCTAACGCCCCTTGCAATGACCGGTCGTTGTCAGTCTCTAGGCTGTGGCAGGCACGGAAGGGCATTTCATACTGGCCGTTGCCTTGACTGGGGGTCTGAAGTGGCAGAGAGACGGCAGGGTAGGAAACGCTTTGCTGCCATGGAGAATCAGGACTGAGTCCCTGCTGCTTATGCATGTGCTGCTGAAGCATCTGATGCTGGTGGTATTGGTCATGATGCTGATGCTGATGCTGCTGCTGCTGCTGCTGCTGCTGCTGCTGCTGGTGCCGCTGGTCCTGGTAGGCGATTGTTATTGGGTGCCGCCCCTTGTGCCTTTTCCCCTGCTGGCCGGCTGTTGAGGGTGGTGCAACCGAATTGGAGGGAGTTGAAACCCCACCCGTCGGTGCAACCAGAGATCCCGTCAAACAACCTGCTCCAGTGTTATTGAGTTCTCTAGATTCAACTTTGTGAGTTGCAGAAACCCCCAGAATGGCAGAGGGTGCAACACTTGTTGGGACCACACCAGAACCTGAGCCACTGAAGGGTTGAAAACTGCCTGCAAATGGATTAGCAGCAGCTTCAGCAGTAGAAGCAGATGCAGCAGCAGTGGCAGCAGCACCAGCAGCAGCAGCGACGGCGGCGGCGGCAACAGCAGGATTTGGAGGGGCAGGGGCTTTATCAGAACTACTGTAAGCAGTGACAGGAGAAACAATGCGAAAAGCTGCAGTAGCGGCATGTGCACGGGCGTTGATCCGATTTCCTAAGAGAGCCTCGAGGAGATCAGCCAGTTTCTGCATATCCTCGTAACGGATCACTTGACCTGCTGCTCTGCCAGCTACCTCGGCTGACCCAGCAGCACCAGCTGGGATAATCTCAGTACCAGCAGCACCAGCTAAGATAACATTAGCACCAGCAGCACCAGCTGGAGTGATTATAGCAGCATCACCAGCTGGGGTAATTTTAGTACCAGCAGCATCCTGCATCACCTGCCATGGCCCAAAGTGCTCTGCCTCTGTTTCAGCTTTAACAAGAGCCCTTCCTGTACCCACTAACAGCCCTCTCACTTCGCTGCTCGTGCTCTCCCAGTTCCTCTCCTCCTCCCACCCTTCCTCCTCGCTTCTCTTCTGCTTCCTCTCTCCCATACCTTTCAAACCACCATCGTTGCTGCTTACAGGCAGCATCGTTTCAAGCGGATATTGCTTGAAAAGTGGTGCATCCTCGTGGTTTAGTTCTCGCAATAACTCCTGGGGAAAATAAGAGGTCCCGTCTTCCTGCTTCGGTTCAAACAGATTGTGCTTGAAAGCGGGTGTGTGGTAAACTACTTGCGATGACCCTTGCTGTCCTGATGGAGTGTTGCTTTGCTGCTGCTGAAGCAACAACCCTTGCTGGACTATTGGGTTGTTAACTTGCTGCTGGTGGTGCAATAACCCTTGCTGCACCAAACCCGATTGCAACAACCCCTGACTCCCTGCTGGCCTTATGCTTTGCTGCTGCTGGAGCAACAACCCTTGCTGCACTGCTGCACTTCTGCGTTGTTGCTGCTGGAAAATTAGCCCTTGCTGCATTGCTGCGTCTCTGCTTTGCTGCTCCGGCTGCAGCAACAACTCCTGCTGCATTGCTGCACTTCTGCTTTGCTGTTGTTGGAGCAACAATCCCTTCTGCACTTCTGCGCTTCTGCCTTGTTGCTGCTGAAAAAATAGCCCTTGCAGCATTGCTGCGTCTTTGCTTTGCTGCTCTGGCTGCAGCAGCAACCCCTGCTGAACTGCTGTGCTTTTGCCTTGTTGCTGCTGGAAAAATCGCCCTTGCTGCATTTCCTCGCTTCTCCTTTGCTCTTGTTGGAGCAACAACCCCTCCTTCAAAGATTGCCTGCTGTTTTTCTTCTGTTGTAACAATAACCCAGGCTGCATTGCTGGGCTATCTCGATGCTGGTGCTGGAGCAATAAGTCCTCATGTACTGTCTGAATGCTGCTGACAGCACTGGGCATGAGAAAGCGGGCAGGGGAGAAACCAGAGGGCGAGCTGGGTGGATTAAGGAGAAAGGAAGCGGGACCTGGATGTGCAAAGAGGGTTTCAGCTGCTCCCTCTGCTTCTCCTGCTGCTGCTCCCATCTCTTTTCCCGATGCTGCTCCCACTGTTGCTCCTGCTCCAGCTACATCCGTTATTACATACTCCACTGCTCCTACTGGTGCGCCCACTTTTGCTCCTTTTCCTGCCAATTCCGGAAATACTGGGCCTTCTACTTCCTGTGCCAGCTTTTGCATTGACTCATTAATCTCTGTAACCCAACCTGCTGCCCAGCCTGCTGTGTCATTAATTTCCACATCTGAAGGAATTGAGCCAAAGGAAGAGTGGGGCGAATGGCTGGTTGTGAGTGTATTTGGGGAGTGGTTTCCCTGAGCATCGGTTGAAGGTAAATGATTCTTTGATATCTCGCCATGGTCACCCGCAACCGGTGCCATAGCTTCCTCCCTGTGTGTCTTCCCATACACCCCTGTTACCTCGCTTCCTCCCACACCACCAGTGCCCCCTGCGTAACCTCCTACCTGAACCACCAAAGGCCCTTCACTTGCTGTCCCTCTCACCCCCGTTTGAAATCCCTGCTCCCTCCAAACATTTCCTGCATGACTTGCACTTCCTTCGTCACCACTAGCACCACCTGTGCTCATTGCGCCACTTACACCACCAGCACTACCAACACCACCAGCACCACCAGCACCACCAGTGCTGCTAGTTTTAGCTACACCACCAGCACCACCAGTGCTGCTAGTTTTAGTTACACCACTAGCCCCATTTGGTTTCCTAGCTCCTGCTTCATCAGCATCCCCACCTGCGCACCTAGCCGCACCAGCATTCCCTGAATGATGCTCTGCTCCGCTCCTTTGCTGCTGCCCCAATGACCAATGATTTACTCCCTGGAAAGGGGCTGTCTGACCTTGCTGCTGCTGCTGCTGCTGCTGTTGCTGCTGCTGCTGCTGCTGCTGCTGCTGCTGCTGCTGCTGCTGCTGCTGCTGCTGCTGCTGCTGCTGCTGCTGCTGCTGCTGCTGCTGCTGCTGCTGCTGCTGCTGCTGCTGCTGCTGCTGCTGCTGCTGCTGCTGCTGCTGCTGCTGCTGCTGCTGCTGCTGCTGCTGCTGCTGCTGCTGCTGCTGCTGCTGCTGCTGCTGCTGCTGCTGCTGCTGCTGCTGCTGCTGCTGCTGCTGCTGCTGCTGCTGCTGCTGCTGCTGCACTAGTATTGCTTGATGCACGTCCATTGCTTGTTGTGCTACCACGGCTTGTCGTGCCACCCTTCCCTGCTGCGGCATTAACGCTTGCTCCTCAGCCGTCAGGGAGCTTCGCTTGAACACCCTCACAACCAGCCACAATGCCACGTCGATCTTGTGAGCACTGCCATCAGCAGCACCGCTTGCCACGTCGACCTTCTGAGCACTGCCATCAGCAGCACCGCTAGCCACGTCGATCTTCCGAGCAGAGTCCGGAGGGTCAAGGAGCTTCACTTGACAGTCTGGACTGCTGGCTTTGGGGCTGCTGTTGCTGCTGCTGTTGCTCCTGGCTGTCCCACCATCGGCATCCCCTCCTGCACCAGCTGCAACACCCACACCACCTGCATCACCCGCAGCAGCGCCACCAGCACCACTCACAGCTCCCGGACCTCTAGTGTCTGGGTAGGTCAGTTGATCTTCTCTGCTGCCGTTTTGGCCTGCCGCAGGGCCACCTGCTGCAGTCACACCAGGTGTCATGCTCTCATTTGCAGCAGCAGTGTGTGCAGCTAATCCGGGGCTCGAGCTGCCTGCTGCAGCTGTAGCGTGTGCCACGTCAACAGGTCCAGCTTCAGGTGAATCCTCTGACAGTCGGTACTCGTGCATGACCCAATCAGTCTTGTCCCCTCCTGGCGCTCGCCCCCTGTTGCCACAACAAGGAAAAAAAAAAAAAAAAAAAAAACACAGAAAAAAAAAAAAAATGGAAGGCGTGTCAAAGACATTGTTACCTTGGCCTTCTAGATACTAAACCCCCTTCCACTCCACGCTTCCCCCACCTCCCCCCCTCCCCCTTTCCCGGTTCCACCCCCCTTTGACCACCCCACTTTACCACAAAACGTCCACAAAAAAAAAAAGCACGCACGCACACACACACACACACGCACACACACACACACACACACACGCACACACACACATACACACACACACACACACGCACGCGCGCGCGCGCACGCATGCACGCACGCACGAACATACACACACACACACACACACACACATACACACACACACACACACTCGCGCGCGCGCGCACACACACACACACACACTAGCGCGCGCGCACACACACAAACACACACAAAAATGCAGCAAAAAAAAAAATGAAATGTTGATAGAAAATGTATCTGTATACATGAAGTCACATGCATTTCACTCATACCGACATCCATATCTTGAGCAATCCAACCTGGAAAAACAATCTGACGACTAAGCTAAAGACACGACTGAAAGAAGCAGCATCAGACTAAGCAAGGACTCCAGATATATATACTGAAATAAAACTGACGAGTCAAACACGCAACAGGAGCCCGACAAACCCCTAAAACCAAAATCAACCAGCGTAAAAATGCATCCAAAAACATGAACAAGAACTTCGGTTCGAATAATTCGAAGTTCCCAAAAAGAAACTCACATGTAGAAGACATGCGTCTTTTTAAACCCTGCTCTGACTGTCTGGTCCCTTTTGCCACCGCTGCTGCCTGTGAGGCGAACATGCACTGGCCTGTCCTTCCCAGTGGCCTTCCAGTACCCAGCTGTTGTGGCGCGGTTGGATCGGGACCCCGATGGGTACTTGAGGTCGCGGGATGTGAAGAAGAACCACTCGCCGTCGTCGGGAATAGGGCATTTTGCTCTGGCTGGGAGTGGCACAGAGGGAGGAATGAGAGGAGAAGGTTGAGATTTGAGATTCCTCCTAGTGAGGAAGAACAACCTAATGTCAGCAACATCTAGTATCACTGAGGATGAGAAGGGAAGGAGTGCTTTCTTTATTCGCAGCTATCGGCCATTCCCTTGTCTTTTGCAGTGAGGCTTGCTACTCTGGCTGCTTTTGAAGCGGGGAGTGACGCGAGTTTTTCAGCCAACTGCCGTTGTCAGCTATAGGAGTTGGGGCTCTGGCTGCTAATGGATTAGCGGGCCGCAGATAGAAATGGAAATAAATAATAATAATGATAATAATAAAATATGATAAGTGAGGGTTGGTGTCCCAAACTGTTATCCACTGAGCAGGATAGGGGTTTGTCAGTTCTCCTGTACCAGTGAGGATAAATCAGCTGCCACCTGCTGTGGTGTGGAGTTTGTTGATTTGGCTGTTTCTTTCCGAATCAGGAGGGTTTATGACATAATAGTGGTTCTCGGTGTCTCCCATATCAGAGGCTACTTCTGGAGCGTAGAAAACAGAATGAATGCCACCTGCTGCATCGGGGCTTGGTGGTCTGGATGTGAATGAATCAGTAGGGAGAGGACAGAGGGGGATAGGGGAAAATAAGATCATCTTATTCAATGACGTTCAATGCTTAGTCCCGAGGCCGCCTCAGTTCCATCCGGCATGGTGTCCTTGTTTATTGTTTGTTTATCTTAATTTCTGCCGCAAAGCACCTTCGGACTGCGGCGCCATCCTGAGAAGGTCCTAATTTCTGGGACCAGGAGGTCCTACTTCTTCCTCTGGCACCTGGGGAGGGGGGAGAGGGGTGCAGGGAATTCCCTGTCAAGGGGGGGAGGGGGGGAGGAGAGGGGGAAGGGGGGATGTAAAATGTTTGTGAATCGACGTTAGTATTGATATGAGGTGCCTGTCTCTTTCTCTCTTTTTGGAAGTTCCTGCCCCTGTTTTCCCCGCCGCTTTTGGGGGTATCAGCTAGAAAAACTTGATTCAACACGCACCTGACAAGCTTCGGAGTTCGTTCAGAATAGCAGCCTGGGGTGCAGCACTCAATGAGAGCGGGAAGGGGTCGACGGGTTTGTGGGAAACTCTTTGGGGATGAAATGATGTTTGAGGCAGGTACCTGGAAGTTCCCAAGGCTCGGACTTGTACAGATCCACGTCGCCAATCACGTTCCATGCGATGGAAAGGCCCTCCACGCGCCGCCTGAGGTAGTAACACAGCAGCTCCTCGTCCGTCGGCCGGAACCGAAACCCTGGCGGGAAACTAGTACTATTCTCAAGAATTATCATGATGACACGCGCTGTCCGTTGCACGCTGACTTCCAGGCTGGACTAACTTCTACCTTAAAGGTGAGCAGCTTGAAGATTCTGTCGAAGGTCAGGAGAGAACTTGAAGTTGGGATGGTCACAATTGGGTAACATTTCCGACCTAAAACGAGCATTGCGGAGTTGAGCCTTTTTGCAAACCTTATTGCACGTGGACTTACAATTGTGGTTCGCCTCAGTGCCTCACTTGGGCTACTAGTACTGCTGTAGAACTGTTAATCATGGCGGTTTCATTAATCTTGCTTTCTTTTTCTCAGACGTTTTGACTTAGAAAGCCTTGTTTCAGTGGCTGGGAAGCACTTGCCGAGGAAAAACAACCCCTGATTGGCAAACAAGGTTGGAACACCAAATATTTGGTTGAGGGCTGAACATGCTACTTGCTACCTTTCTAAGGTGATGAATGACACTTGAAGGTGAGGCTTGGTGTTCTGACCTGACAGGTCCACAGTGGCGGATGTGAAGTGAGCCCTCAGTGCCAAGTGGCACTGTCTTAGTGGCACTAGAGAGGAAGGCATGGTGTACACAAATCCCACAAAAGGGTGCTTAGCTTAGTGGCAGTCAGCTCGACCTCCTCTGTCTGTTTCAGTCCAATCCCAATCTAAAAACTGGGCAGCGTAACAGTAATCAGGTGTATGACTCCACCGCATATAGGGCGGCAAATTTCGCACGGATTCGTCAACATCGCAACTACACGTTTGGTCATTGGTGGTGGTGAGGCAGTTTGGTTTGTCAGAAATGTACCGACCAAATGCTGCTCGTCAGGGTGGTTTGGACTTTCCCAACAGGTGGGAATATGTTGATTGGCAGAGAACCTGCTGCAAAGTTCCGGTTCGGTTCTAAGCTGCCCAAAAAACGATGAACACTACTATTGAAGTGGACCTTGATTGTACAGCACCAAACAAGCCTAGCCCCTCTCTATGGTTCTGCACTTGCAACCATAGAGTTACACCCTCTTTCGCGCTAGTAAAGCATCTGGTTGCAGAACATACGCGTGTTGTAGAACGTCACCACGTTCAGAACGGTCTTGTCACCTACTGTACAATAACAATGCGAAGAAACCGGTTGGGTGAGGTGATGAAATGTACGAACAACGCTGTCAGCGTTTTCGTCTGGTTGGAAAGGTTATACAGCGATTACAGATTTTTTCGCCCTGAGCCAGTCTGTCATGTGGTTCGGCTTTTCCCCTCAGGTTGCTAGGAAACGCTTTATGGCACCTAATCGCAAGAGCCAAGTACTGTAGCGACGAGTCGCCCAAGGTGAGAAGGTTGAGAAAGAGGGTGTACTTCTACGCTCACTTCGGGTGGTACTGCTGCTGTTGGTCAGTTGTGGAAACGTGTCATTTGCAAACAGTATGGTACTTTTCTGTGAAGTACTTTTTCCTTGACATCAGTTGTACAAACATGAAGTAATGCCGCGAAGCTCTAGTACTTTTTCCTTTACATCAGTGTATATCCTCTCCTGATAGCACATTATTGTCTGTACAGCAGTTTAGGTGAGCCGTTTACCCAACAAAGGTGACGGTCAAGTAAAAAGGGCCAGCATTTTAGAATCAACCCTCCAAACGGGGTGGCCTTCGTCGCAACATTCGACAAACGGAAAGGGCCGTCGTCGCATCGGACGAAAATGTCAACTGTGAACTGCAGACAACGACGACTGTGTCGGAGTACAGTGCACAGTTTTCACGACCGCGTCTCACTTGGTGGGTTGGTGAGGTGAGATGTCATCGTGGACGACGGCAATGGAGTACGCGCTAGGCCAACATAACAGCAAATTTGCTTAAAGTGAATCACAAGTTCGATATATTCAGTAAAAAGCTTTTGTTCTGTTTTCCAATATTTATATATTTGAGCCTCACACGATACATGCCATTGCAACAAACTTTCCCGCAAACCATAGCAATGGCCCATGATCTACATTGGATGTGGGTGTGCCACGTACATAATGCTATAAGATTCAAGAGTGCTACCTAGGATAAAGCAAAAGAATTGCAACACATCGAGCAGCACTACCAGGGGTTTTGCGTGCCACACAAGATCCTGGAGTGTGCTTCGAACGGGGTGGAGGTAAAGAGCGGATTGGAGAGTGCAGGGAAGAAAGAAAAAGGGGAGATGAGAGGAGAGGGAAGAGAGGAGAGGAGAGAAGAGAGTAGAGAAGAGGAGAGGAGAGGGGAGGAGGGGACAGAAGAAGGGAGGGGAGGGAAAGGGGGAGAGGAGAGGAGAGGAGAGGAGAGGGGGAGGAGAGCATGGGTGGGGAGGGAGGGCTCTGCAGCAGCGTCACAGTAATGGTT